TTGTTGGTAACTAACTTATATGTATATTTAGCTATTGTGCTTATAAAAACAAGTGACTTATTATTGATTATTTTTTTAATTTAATTAATATTATAATTATTATTGTTGTTGTTTTTTTATTATTATTGTGGTTCTTATGTTTATTACTATAAATATTATTTTTATTATTATATTTATTATTCTTATAATTATTACTAATTATATATATATAAAGATGTATATTTTTGGTGTTTACTTGATATTAGTAGAATTACTATTTTTAAATATCCATGAAATTATTTTTTAGAAAATATATATGATGATATGATGATGATATATATATATAAAAAGATGATATATATATATATATATATATATATATATATATATATATATATATATATAATATGACTTCTGGTACAGGTAAAGCTGTGGCTGATGTGGGTTTTTGAACTACTGAAATAATTGCAGACAGAGACACTTGTCATTGGTATGTACATTGTATGATACCGCTACCTGCAACACAGAATAAATAGGAATAAAGACAAAATAAATGTAGCACGCTCTCTTTTTGAGTTATATAGACCGGAATTTGCAGTGGATTGCCTGCCGGCACTATAAGTTTGAGGGGCTATTGGCGGATGCCTTAAGTGTTTGCCTAAGATGGACTTCTACTGGACCAGATATTATCATGTTTAAGAAATTTCATGATAAATGGTCTTAAAATAATCCACCATAAGCCAAAAAGAACGTCAGACTCCATTGATCAATGAGTCAAAAATTGAAATAAATGATTGCAAATCACTGTTAGCTTAATTATGCATCAGAGGACTATCCTTAGGTTCTATTCCTAGCAGCTTCTATTGTAGAACTAGAAACAAAGTACGCAATCCAAAAGCCTGGTGCCCTTCATTAAACACCTGTGTTTTCTCAAATCAAAAGCTTTGTTATTACAAGAAAACACAGCTTTTGGATTCAGAAAACACAGCTTTTGATTGTAGAAAACATAGCTTTCGATTTGAGCCCAATCTGCTCAAGGGCAACCTTTATTGAAGCCACTGCCACACAATTTGGGAGAACTGAAAATATCTCAAACTTTCTTCTACATTACATGGATTGATGATTGGTGTTATAGACATTCTCATTACATCATAGCCTAAAATCCCACCATTCAAAACGGCCAAATATTTTGTAAAGAATCTGGCTTAGGTAAATGATTGAGCGTTGATCCAAACATTTAATGCTACAATTACAAAAGATGAAACATTGCAATCTGAGAGCTTGTAGATATGTAGATCTGTAAGTTACACTTACAGACTAGTATACTTTTAGTGCATATCATTAAGTGAAAACTGCCTTGTCTGATATATTAATTGTTGTAAAAATTTTGATGATTTTATTAAACTTAGGTTTGATATACAAGTATAGCTCATAATTACATAGATTCTACATAGCAAGATGTTCTTATTTAATTAAACACATAATCATCAACTTAATATGTTTAATTAAACACATAATCATCAACTTAATATGTAACAATATTATGTTAATAATACCATACATAGAATCAGTTTATCTTGTGCCATTTTGAGATTTATATGGAACTTTGGGGTCCTCGAGAGACCCCTAAAAGTTCTTTAAAACTTATGAAATTTAAAATTTAAACTTTTAAATAGCATCACAAAAAAGATCAAAAATAAACTTTCTGAAGAGTGAGTCTTGGAATTTTTCAAAAAAAGGTTTATTTAGGACAACCTAGTGTGTGTGTGTGTGTGTGTGTGTGTGTGTGTGTGTATATATTTAAAAGTTTAAACTCATATACAAATATTTAAAAAAATATCATAATTGTTGTTTTATTGTATTGCTTCAACATTTCTGTGTATAGTATTTGAATTTATCTCCGTTCATCAAGATTGACATTTCAACATTCATAACTCAATATAACCCAAATTTGAACATACAATGCTTTAGAAATAACCTATTGATATATATATATATATATATATATATATATATATATATATATATATATATATATATATATATATATATATATATATATATATATATATATATACACAGTGGTGTACACTGGATTTTTAGATGTTTGAGTTTTGACACTTACATGTATTTTACAAACTCCAAATTTTTGTATGTTCATATTTATTTCAAATGAGAATGTTTTGCAAAAAGTTGTGGTGATTGGAGCTTGGGGACAAAAAAACCTCAATTTTGGGGCCACCCAGCCCTTAACGTGGGAGCAACAAGTTGACAAAATAATTTTTTTAGTATTTTTATCTAAGGTTATATTCATCAAGGAATTTCAAATTTCATGCAATAACCTTAGTTTTTAGTTTTTATGACCCAACAAAGTTTACAGCCCCCTCAAATTGAGGGGGGTTAAAACTTTATATGGTCATAATTTTCAAAAAATAAGAAATTATTGGATGAAATTTGAAATTTGTTGATGAATATAAACGTAGATAAAAATACTAAAGAAATTATTTTATCAACTTGTTGCTCCCATGTTAAGGGCTGGGTGGGCCCAAGAATTGGGGTTTTTTTGTCCCCAAGCTCCAATCACCACAACTTTTTGCAAAACATTCTCATTTGACATAAGTATGAACATACAAAAGTTTGGAGTTTGCACAATACCTGTAAGTGTCAAAACTAACATCTGACAAACAGCCTGACTCGCAAGGGAGTGCTGAGTGCTGCAAGGGAGTTTATAAATTCAAATATTTTTTACAAAACACGCCTAAAACTATTTAACTCTAGCGTGGCTTGCAGTCTTTCAAAAATGCACAATTTCAAACTGCTGTTTTAGCCTAATTTCAATAGGATTTAATATGCTGATATAAGTTTTATACTTTGGCGAGAAATAAACCAAAAGCTCATTTATGACAAACCAAGATTTAGTAGGTTAGCAATTTTTAAAGCCTGTTTACACTGAAAGTTTTTATTTTTACCAGTGATTGAAAAAATTATTTTCTAAGTTTTAAAGCTGATTTTCACTGATTTTTTTTTTCAGTTTCAAGATATAAAGTTTTGGCTGACAACAAGTAAAAATTTATAAATGGGAGAAGGATGGGGGAAGAATGGGAGGGGAAGAGGGGGATGGGGAGGAGAGGGTCTTAATAAGCTTGGGATGGGCGGGAAAATTTTCCAAAAATTAATAACCTCCCCCCCCCCAATTTTATTGAAGACTCGAGAGTAGTAGTTAACCAAGAGTACAGCTTGTCATAAAACTCATGAAATTTTTCAGAAATAAATTCTTTTAATTTGGTAAGGTCTTCTACTTTCACCTTTTTTTCTGCCAGCTTTTTTAGTTGTTACCTTGCCACTTAGGTAAGCCAATTTATTCACCTGTGGTACAGCAGCAGTATGTTTAGCCATAAAAAAAGTATGACCGATCAAATCATTTATATTGGTGAATGCCTTGAAAGAGATTTTTTTATCATAGTCAAATACAAAATAAAATAGGTTACTAGCAGAAAAGTGAACCTTTCTTTCTTTTGGGGTAGTTTTACTCTTAGTTTCTGTAGAAACACAAGACTTTTTGTAATGTTTGGTGCTCCAATTCATCTACTATTTCTTTCACAATAAACTTTTCAAGTCTGGAGCAAATACTCAGACTAACCGAGTCAAATTATTTGCTTAGAAATAGGGAAAGAATACTAGATATAAGTTAGGTATTTTGATATAAGATATAAGCCAAACAAAATACCTGGTCCACGTATTTTGAATTATGCTATTATATAATATTTTAAAATATTCCACATTCATTTAATGCAAACATTCATTCAAAATGATCTAGATATATTGAATATTTAAACTTTACCTGCAAGTAAACTCAGTGTACTTTGGTGGAACATCATTGTGATTCCTTGTGATTGGTGTATGATAGTACCAATAAACAAAGAAAAAAAATTATATTTTTATGGAACCTCCAGGTACGTTAAAACTGACAAAAAATACATTAAGTTTGCACAAAATAATGTTTGATTGCAATAACGAACTGATAAAATGAGAATATATTTAAAAATTAGTAGATATTTAAGAAAAAGAAAATTTAGGAAATAAAAATTACAAAGATTATTAATAAAATACTAATTTCAAAAAAGTAAAAGCCAATAGAGTATTTAATAACACTTTAATGGGCTAAAAATGGAGAAGCTCTGCACTTAAGTCAGAGTAAAACAGGCTTTGTTAGGATGATTGCCTGAAATTGTGTATATGAATATAGATTAAATGAGCTTATCTTTAAATTGCGTATATGATTATAGATTAAATGAGCTTATCTTTAAATTGCGTATATGAATATAGATTAAACCAGCAGAGGTTTTTAATTAGAAGTAAAAGAAGTATTATTCCAATTCCACCAATTCTAAAGGAATTAAAAAAATACCATTACCTACTTTTTAAATGAGCTTCAGCAATTCCCGATTCTTATAAAAATTGGTATCAATCTGATGCACACCGTTCTATTTCATTTGAATATGTATTAAGCTTGCTTAATCTTGTTATGCTTGAACTGATTTTGATTTGTTTTTCTTGGACTGATCTTGATTTTTTATTAAATTAAATTTTATTTGATCTTGATTTATTATTAGGCATAACAAGATTAATCTTGTTATACTTGTACTCACTTTGTTTTTATTTTCCTTGGACTGGGAATATCACCATGGCAAAAATATTATATTTAAAAAAACTGAAATCACTGAAAAAATAGATTTTGCCAAAAGTGTCAAATCATCCCTTTTAAAAAATACTGATTCAATTGTGATGTCTCTAACATTGTATGTTGTATCTTGGAGTCAACTATCATTTTTATTGTTGAATTGACGTTATTTCAAAAAATGTCACTTTAGATCAGAAATAATATTTTTCAAATGCATTTATTTTGAATAACTCTACATTATTATTATTTTTATTGTTACTATTAATTATTAATATACTTTTATTATAATTCATTATTATAATATACTATTATTATGCAATTAGCTATGCAAACTACTTACAACAAACTTAAATTTATTTGTTTCGAGAAACCATTGAGCAGTCAAATTAAATACCATTCCACTAGCTGCAAATGAATGTTCTTTGTACTTCATTAATCTCTCGTTAAAGTAAATTATTAAAGTAATGTTTTCTGAATCTGCTGTTGAAGCAATATTATCATTTCTGACGCTAGTTACAGATGTAATAACATTTTTATTTCTAAAATAAGTTAACCAAATATATATATATATATATATATATATATATATATATATATATATATATATATCACTCTAAAAAAAAGTCAGTAATAATTTTTTTTCAGATAGGTATACATGATCAAAATGCATGTTTTTAGAGTAACATTTCAAGCTTTATCCATTAAAAATACTCCCATGTTCATCACCATGATTGCACTATAACTCTAGGACACCAAAAGGACACTTTAACGCATGCAACTAAAAAATATTTTAGGATACTTATATAAAATCATAATACATGTTTTTTTATGTCATTTAGATAAGACTTATTGGTTAAAAATATTTACAAGATAATAAAATATAACAAGTACACAAAAAAACAACACTGAAAAACACAAAAAAGAGACAATAAAAGAAAACTTTTCTAAAATAATTACATGGTCGCAATATGTTTTTGAAATATTTTTTTACATTTCATGAATTAAAAAAATTATTTAATAACTGTAGGACACCAAAAAGGACACTATAAAGATCTAGCTGTGAAAATATTTTAGGATAGTTATATTAGGCAATAGTTCATGTTTTTAAGCCAAATTGTTAAGCTTTATCCGCTAAGATATTTTTTAAAAGTCCTACATTAACTAATTAATTCTTAGAAACTATAAATTATAGTGCAATGTAAACACTATACATTATAGTATATGCCCTAGCATTTATTAGTTATCGTATGATTTCATAAAAGATACAATTGTAAAAGTCTGACTCTAAAGTTTTTACATAAAATAAAACTTTATGTTTAACTATTAATATTTTTATTTATGTTTCAGAAACCAAATCATACAGCCTTGATTTTTGCTCTAGCTGTGAACTGTAATAACCACAAAATGTGTTTAATTTAGTTATGATTTTGGCTGGTTTCGAAAATTAAATAAAACTAAAACAAGAAAAAAAACAAATTAAATAATAAGATGGATATACTATTCCCTCTTTCTTCTGCTTTAACACTGAACATTTGTTCAAAATAGTTTCAACATGTTTTGAACATTTGTTTCAACATTTGTTTCTGAATATGTTAAACTATTACACTAACACTTTTACTAATGTAATCTCTTAGGTAATCATAAACTTCTTTTCTCTTAAGCATTTATGGCTAAACATGTTCCACTAGCGACTAGTTCCACTAGACTAAACCAAATTCTTAGACTTTAATCTCAAGATGGCAATTTTAAAACTCGTTTTTTTCAAAAACTGCTGATAGAGCCAACTTAAATATTGCAGCAAATAAAAGCTTTTATTTTGTAGTTTGGAAATCATATAAGGTTTAGTATGGTGCCTTTAGCGGTATTTTAGATGATGACTGAAATGTTCAAAAACAATAACAAAATCATGTGCAAAAATTCAGCTTTTATACAACTTTTATGAAAATCATCCAATTTTGTTCCTGAAATTCCATTATTATTAGCCAGAAAAATTTATTTTAATGTTGGCTTTTTATCCCTTATTGTTAAATAATAATTTTCCAAATTTTAGACGAATAACCTTTTTTTTTCATCATCAAGTTCAACTTCAATTTCAAAACATTAAATATTTCACTCATATCCACCATTTAAACCAATGTGAGATGCTCTTAACTGATTACCATTCTATAGGGAACTCTATAAATCCAAATAGAATATTCTACAAATCCATATATTTTTTTTAATAATATTTTTTTTAAAATAATATTAAGGGTCTTGAGACACTCCTTAAAATATTTTTTATTCAAAAAACTTCAAAAAAAAAAAATGTTACTTTATCATATAGAATAATAAAATCTTAAATGTTACTTTATCATATAGAATACATTAAGGTGCGAGATGCAGATATGTAAAAATGTTGTTTTTTGAACCACCCTAATGAAAAAACAAAGGTTGATGGAGAGTACAGTAGAAGACTACTGGATGCCAATTGGAGAAAAAACAAAGTAGATAAATTAAGAGATGAAGAATTAGAGAGACAGAAAAAATTAAAAGATAACAATAATGTGTAAGTGTCACATGACTCCATGACAGAAGAGGTTTAATTCAGTAGTGAGAAAGAAAAATCAAATGAGGACTCTAAAATCAGCAAAGAAGATTTCCAGGGTAATGGTCAGAAATGCAAATATAGTATTCTTTCAATAACAAAGTTGTAATTTTTAAAAACTAAAACATTTTTGTTGAAAGGAAATAATTATAAACAGGTAGAAAAATATTATCAATTGAGTATCACCTAGGTACAAGTCTGAAGATGTGATAAATCTAGCAGTGAATGTTGACAAACTCATTGAATACTACAATTTCAGCAAAAAGGTTTAATATTGTACAACTTCATTTGGAAATTTTAAGAGAAGTAAAAATGTATGATATACCTTTATCTTGAAACACGCTTCATAGAAAGAAGTCTAAATACATAGTACATGAAGGAGATTTTAATCATCAATCATTTTAAAGGCCAACGGATTATACTTTATTTTGATACTAAACTGTTGGAACAGATTGCCCTAGGATTTAATATTATTCAAAAAATTGAGTGACTTGCAATCTCAGTGAGCTTCTCAGATGACGACTCCATGGAAGACCATTTTTTAGATGTTGTTGAATGTTCCTAATGGGAGTTTGTTCCCCTTAAAGGGAGTTAACCAAGCAGAACATGGTTGCAGAAAGCAGATCATATGTATATATTGTGATACAACTGTAAGCATTACAGGCGGAGTCAATGGAGCAGTCCAAATTCTTACAGGTATTTTAAAAATTCCAATGTTGTGGATAATGTGTAGGAGACACAAATATGAAGTACATGTATCTTATTATATGGCTGCTCTTACTAGTGAGAAAACCAAAGGTCTAAGAAAGTGTCTTTATGAAAGCTAAAAAAAAAGTGGCCTGAAATCTACGAGAAACTTAACGATGAGAAAAATTTATGCAAATTGGACAAAGAGATAATCTAAAGATTACCTCTGTTCTTCGCACTGATGCAGAGTAAGCTAAGACAATTTTGACTGCAAATACTGAACTATTTTCTAGGAATAATTATGGAATAGTCTGTAACCTAGCCTCCTACTTCCTTGGAGCAGAAATACAAGATTTTAAGTTTCATTAACCTGGTGCCTGGCATGAGATAAGGTTTTTAGCAGTTGCTACCTACATCCTTTGTATGACCAAAAATTTCAGTAATATCTTGACAGAATAAGATGCGCTGCAGATGAAAGACACAAATTTGTTAATTGTAATTTGCTATGTTCCACGGTTCTCAAAAAATTTATTAGGGTTCCAGGTTCTAGGCTCCCTACAATGATTTGAAAGATATCTAGATACCCTATGCTTTGGGAAAGGTCAACAGAAAGATTGGAAATGCTTTGCATCTGAGCATTGGACTCATTTCTGAGCAAAGCTACCTTCTCTTCAAGCATTTTAACATACCAAGGGCAGGTAAAAAAGCATGGCTCAGTAAAGTCTTAACACTATTAGTCGTTTTCTCACTCTCACTCTTAGTTGCTAAATTTTATTGTATGAATCAAAAACATATCTGCTGTTGTTCATATGTTGTTAATGATGGTGTTTGTTAATGATTGTTAATGATAATCAAAAACATATCTGTTAATAAAAATAATGATTGTTAATGATAATCAAAAACATATCTGTTGTTGTTCATATGTTGTTAATGATTCATCATGTTGTTAATGATGGTGCGGAAAAGAACATTAAGATGAGGATCATTTTTCAAAATCTCCTTTTTGTAGTTAAAAAGTCTAGAAAAAATTTTCACTAAGATTATGACCAAATAAAAGCTTGAAAACTATAAAAAAAAAAGTTGTATTTTTCAAGAAATTTTTTACCACAATAAAATCTATGGTTTGCTAACCAATATTAGTTTTATGTTTGTTTTTTTTTGTTTTTTATTATTTTTATTTTTTTTTATTTTGTATTTCAGATTTATAAATGTAAACAATGAAGCTTAAATTGTAACAATAAGAATTCCATATGATTTATACACTTCTAATAGATTTGTTCAGATAGTCCAAAATGTAACAAACTTATATTTTTTATTAATAATGAGCCTGATTTGCATCAAAACTGTAAAACTTAAATTTTACATTTAGCAGATTCAGTAAATCAGATGTCAGATGGATATGCATACAACTAATTACAATTCCCCTGTTCATTTTAACACAGGTGAATGGTAATTAGTGGTATGCGTATTCATCTGGTTAATTAGTGGTATACATATCAGGTTAATTTTTTAGTTGTTTGTCTTTAAATAGCTGATTTTAAGTTAATTTTTTTGCAAACTTGTAACTGTATAACTTATTTGTCTAGAAGGAAGGTAAAGGCAAGGTGGGGGGGGGGGGAAGGGAATAGAAAAGAAGTAATTTAGTGACCCGGATTAAATTTTTGCGGGGAGGGGGGGGGGCATTACAACTTTCTTGTACTGTAACAGAAATAAGAGTCTTTTAAGTCTGGAGATCCAACTAATTTTCTGGTAGTGACACACACAAATTAAAAAAGTAGCTTCCTCAATAGAAGCTCAATAGAAGTTGTCCTAGGTAGGGTGACCATATTTATTATATAGAGATACAAAAATAAGAATAAAAAGAAAGGGGGAAAAAATCCGGCTAAAACTGTCTAAATTAGTTAGTGATCTCTGAAGGTCTTAAAACTAGACTAAAGAGGGCTAAATAAAAATTTTCTTAAAACTTCATATCCAGATAAAGAATAGGCTTTCTTTTTTAAATAAACTGATTGTTAAAAACTACTAAAAAAAAAAAAAAATTAAATTTTAATAATAAAAAATCTTTTTAAAAAACATTAAATTTTAATAATAAAAATTTTTTTTTGTCATTAAATATTAAAGGATTAATAATAAATTCAAAAAAAGGGTTAAAAGGGTTAGGGTTATAATAAATATTCAAATTGGGTATGGACTAATCTATGCACTTTGAACAAAATGAACTTTTATTCAAAGAATACTTACATTGCAATATATGCATAAGAATCATAAACAAATGAAGCAGCTTCACTATTCTTTACATTTGACACAACATTAAAAGGTATGAGATAGACAATAAGTCTTGTTGGACTATTAGCTACACGTGAATGTGTTATTGCAAACTGAGTTGTTTCGTTTACATAGCCAACCTATTGATAAAAATTTATATATATATATATATATATATATATATATATATATATATATATATATATATATATATATATATATATATATATATATATATATATATATGTATAATATATATAATATATACATATAATATATATATATATATAATATATATATTATATATATATATATACATATATATGTATGTATGTATATATATCAGCAATGTATCCAGGCTGATTGTATCCGCCCAGTATACCAGCATGGACTCCAAATTTCTACCCAATCTCAATTTAAAACAATTTTGTATTAACAACAAGTTTGTCAAAATTAAAATTAAACAATTCTTTATTACTTATTGTCTTGCTGTTTTATGATAAAATTTGTTATGATAATTATGATGATAAAATTTGTTATGATAATTACAAAATTGTTAACTATTGTCATTTAGAAAAAGCAAAATTTGTAAAACAACTATTAAAACAGATTATAAATATATTTTAAGTCAATCAGAATGCTTTATTCGAATTTACGTATATGAAACATGGAGTATGCTACAATTGGATTAAAATGTAAAACATGCGTTTTACATTTTAATCCAATTACATATTAAGTTACATATTAAGTTTTTTGAAAAAGTCAACGTTTTTATTTTCAAATAAAAACATTAACTTTTTAAAAAAACTCTAAATATGAGTTTCTCTTCCACTTATGTTTTCATAACTATAATTTACAATGGGATTAAACTCTATAAGCTTAAAACTTTTTCATTTCAAATAACAGCAAAATTGCATTTAAAATATTTTAAATAATAAAATAAATAAAAGTTTTTTGAAACATAGTAACATAATAATCATGCCAAAAAACTTGATTTAAAAAGTAAGAGAAGAACAACAAAAAAAAGTTATTAACTTTTAAATGAATTGACCTTGTTATGCAATAAATACGCTATGGAATAAATTTTTTTAGTCTATATAAAAGAAACATACAAGTATTGTTTATTAAATGTTATAGTTATCGCTTGCTTTTAAAATATAATTAATGCTCCTCTTACGAGTACCTGCGAAGGGTACTCATGGGAGAAGAAATAAAGAAATAAATTTTATTTTATTTTTTATATTAGTTAGTAAATAAATGTAAATGAAAATTACATGCTTTATTCGCCGTCATGTTGTAATAAATGTAACATTATTTTGGGTAATTATTTATGTTTTTATTTGGAAAAACATGCAATACTAGGGAAGGTATATTATATACAAATCTTTTACATTTGTGTTCTTTAAAAAAAAAAAAAAGTTCCTCTAAAAGTAGACAGAATTTTTAGACTGGTATGCCCAAAAAATTATGTCACTGTATATACAGTGGGTTGCCAAATTATTAGGGACACTTTATTTTTAAAGTAAATTTAAAGTATAAACTACTTTAATGAATAAATACGTATCTTGTAGTTATTTTTTTATTGTTTTTATTGTTATAGAGCTTTATTTAGAATATAAAACAACATAATTACTTATTCATTGCTTTTTATTTTTTTATAAAAAGTTTGAACATAACAAATAAGGTAATATTCTTAATATTTTGTAATTCCACCCTTACCTACAATAACGGCTTTCAGATGTCGAGGCATGTTTTCTATGCAGACTTTTGCATTGTTTTGGAAACTGGGGTTGCTATGCCACTCTCTTAAGGGTTTTCTATCAATTGCTGCTTGGTAGTGATGATTTCTTTGGCGATTTTCAGTTTTGTGAACTCCCATAGATTTTCTATGGGGTTCATATCAGGTGAAACACACACTTTTTTTTCAGTTAGGAATGCTGCAACACTTCTAGCTTTATGGCACGGTGCTGAGTTGTGCATGAACATATACTCTTCATTACCAGGAAACCATTCTTGGACCTGGGGCAGGAACCTGTTTTCCAATACTTGCTTGTACTGGTCCTGCCTCATGGTCCCTTCCACAATGTAAAGGCAGCCCATACCCTTGGCTGAGATCACAGACCACACCATTAAACTCACAGGATGTTTAACCTTTTCCAAAAGGTTAAACATCCTGTGAGTGAAAAAGTGCTGGTGGAATTTTTCTTTTGGATGTTGTTGAACAAAAGAGCTTTTGTCCATCAAAACTTCAAATGTTGAATTGTCCAAGAAGCAGACCTGTAAAATATTTTAAAGATATTTTAAATTACTAACCTTAAACTTTTCTGGTTTCTTACAATATCATAAATTATATTTACTCTACTTCAGTCTTCAATAGTCATATGCTGGTACTTTCTAGCCCATTCCAGTTGCTTTTTTTTCTTGGCTTCAGTTAAACATGGTTTTTTGGTTGGACAACAACCCATTAAATTCTCTTCAGCCAACCTTCTCTGAGCCGTCCTTTTGGAGACGTTAATTCAATAAAATTAGAGACAATTGTCTCTAATTTTACGGTCACAACGTGGAGTAGTGATCCTTTTTCTGCAACTTTTGCTGAAATGGTCTGGTTCTAGAGGCATAGTTGTATCAATTTTTATTTTAATTTGGCTCACTACTGACTTTGAAACACTTGCAATTACTGCTATCTCTCTCTGAGAATGTGTAAAATGAAGAAGTAAGGTTTTTACTTCCCTAAGTTTTCTTGGGGTTAAGTCTGGAGACTTGCCCATACTAAAAAAATCATTGAGAGGTGAGAATGATTACAAGTCAGGATTAATGCATTAAAATCATCAAAAATAATAAATTATTAACCATAACTAATTGAACTATTAACCAATACTTAGGAATAGTTCGGAACTCAAAAAAATTCCAAAAAATTGTTCCAAAAATAAGTAATTGAAATCAATTTTGAACTTGCTTCAACCACACTTTTCAACAATTGATAGTTAATTGAGTAATAACCTAACTTTTTGACAGATAGGGCGGACTGACACAATTGCCATATTATTATGGTTTGAAATATGGTTTCCAAATAACCAATTTTATAAAAAAACACGGTTTCAGTTTTAATTTTAAATAAACCTACAGTTAACCTTGGTTTTTGGTTTTTCTTGTTAAATAATAAAATTTAAGTAAGTTTATTTTGCATTGTTTATAAAGAAGTTACTTAAACAAAGTGTTCTAACATGTTTGTATTTTAAAATAAAACTTATAATGGCTTATTTTTATTGTAAAAAAATTTTAAGAAAACTAAAGATTTTAACGATTCATTGGTTAATCGTGATCTGATTTTTGTGCAGAATTTGTGCAGCTCGAATAAATGTGTCTAACAACTGTTGATATGGGCTTCATAGAGAGAATCCCATTGTATACTTTTTCAATACTTTCTGTTCTTTTGCCTGTATTTCGGTACAACAAAAACTCTTGCTTCAGTCATTTAAATTATTCAGTAGATTTGGGTAAGTGAGTGATGCTATCTTTATTGAGAAGTGCGTTTAATTCATCCTTAAGAAAAACATGTGAACTTTCCAATGATGTACATGGTGCTTCAGCTAGTAGTGGTTTCTCATCATTAGAAGTAAATCCAAAAAACCTAAACGCAAGTTTTCCAGCAAAATTTAAACTACTTTTTAATGGAACAAGTTAAGGATCTTTTAGGCACCTTAACAACTCCATAACATTTCCGTTAATTCTTTCATTGCTTTCTTTATATTTGAATGCAATAAAGATACGATTTCTGTATTCATAGCAAATAGTTTTGCAAGCATGAATTCAAGAACAGTATCTGCTATTGATAATGCTGCATCTTTTCTGATAAGAAATTCCACTACTAATTTTGCTGGCTCTAAAGCGGCATGTTATAAAGCTAATGACTCAAAATTTAGCATGTTGATTACATTAATAGCAATAAATTCAGTAAATGTCTGGCGTAACCATTTCTTAGTTCTTAACAAAGGCGTAGTCTTTGAAAAAAGTGAATTCCAATGATGATGAACATCCAGATGTAGTTTGATTTCTTTACTAAATTCCTCAGTAACTTTTTCTTAAAAATTTGATTACAAACTGATGAGATTTTTATGAATTTAACTACTTTTTGTGCATTAATCGAAATTTCAGGGTAGTCAAAATCAATCTCATTGTTTACCGATTCAAAACTAAAATTATCATCATAAACTCCATGTTCATCCTCTTCTGAATCATTGCCCGTTTTCTTAAGAATTGGTACATTTGTGCCTTTATTTTTGTGTAACGTGTCGCATACACTAAGATAAATTGCACCTTGAGTAGAACCTACTACATCTTTTTCCACAAATGAATTAAAATGGTCCTTAATATTTTGTATTAAATTTTCAGCTGGACAGAAACCATAGATTCTACTGAGGACAGTTTTATAGGTTTTCTTATATTCGCTTTCATGCAGGTTGATCCAATGTACTTTGTGTGCCACAAATATGAGTATTCATCATGTGTTACGCTGAAATTATGTCCTATTTGAATTTTTTCGATAATTTTTTGTTTCATTACTTCCTTTTTATTAGAAAAATCTTGATGGATTAAATTCATCACAGTTGTTGGACTTTTAGGAAGATGGTTTCCTTTTTGTTGAATAAATTTGTTGTTAGTTATCGTATTAATTGAAACACCATTTGTAGCTAAATCAGCTACAATTTTTTAAGACTTGTTTTTTGTAAATAACTGTCTATGATTTTATTTATTTTTTTTGGTAGTGGATTTGAGCTGTTTGATTCTCCAGTCGAAGGACTATTGATAGTAATTTCATAACATAAAATATGATTCCACGAAGTAGTTGTGGATCCACAGGAGCATGTTACAACAAAATGGCGTCTATTACAGATGCCTTCAACATCTCTTGAATTTGGAATTTTATACTGGGCAGCAAATTTGTAAACTGATGACATGATTTATCTAGAAGATAAATATAATTTCAAAAAAATAAATAATTGATAGAAACACTATTGTGAATTATTTTTATTAAATACCTATCGTTATTATTTTGTTGAAAAAATATACACTAAAAATATAATATGTTGTTTTAAAGAATAAAAATCTTTAGTATAAAGAATTTGAGTATTAGAATACT